TTACAATTTTATCATTTATTTTATTGTTAATTTCCTCTATTACTTGACCCAAGGTGAATTAATTATTAAATTCTACTCACTTTTAGTATTTTGTATTTATTTCAGGGAGTAGAACGAAAATATGATAACAAATGCCAATTTGACAGAAAAAGAGTCCAAATCATAGAGCTTATCCGAGGGGCATAGTTGGCAAAGGAAAATTTGTTCCCATCTTGGTAATTGCTGATGAGGGCGGAAGACAGTATAAAAAGAAGAAAAATGAACGCAGGGCTGGTCTTCTTCTTCCTCTCCGGAAGGAGAGCCGCCGCACAGGAGACTACTAGATAGAAAGGAGAATTAGGAGTAGAGGATTTTTCTATCTCCTTTAGTTTAGTTTTTCCTTTGACTTTTCCTGAGGAATTTTCCTTTGCTTTTGATTCTTAAGCATGTCAGACAATACTTAGTAGTTATTAGCTTTACTTTGACTTTTCTTTTGGATTCGTATTGGTTTTTCTTCTCTCGGACGTCAAGACCAAACAAAGCAATGAACTACTTCCTCTAGCTTTACTTTTTCGACAGTATTGCAACGACGTGAATTTACCCAATTGATGGCCGTTGCTTTCTCTGCAAATCTGTATGATTTTTTCGCATCCTGGATGAACTAAATCCTCTTTTCTAGTCGAGAAACAACGGATGCTTTGGGTCGCCTAAAATTGTGAGATCGATTTAATTTAATCTTTTCCTTTTATTTATTGGTATTCGCATATTTCTTGATTGCTATGTTTATGGTTATTTAATTAATTGATTGTCTTGGATCCGGATAATTAATTGATTTGATAATCTATTGTCAATTGGGACGTTAAATCTGTAATTGTTTAATTGTCTCAAAATAGTGATAACTGGCATGATTGGGTTTGTGTCAGGGGAATACGCGAGCTAACCTAAAATAACCCTGATAGTGTGTTATTTGGTTAGAATAGGGCTTCTTTAATACGTAAGGCAATTGGGGAATTAAATCTTACGGGCGTACCTAAGATTATTTTTCAATTAGAGCAGTGATTAATGGCCGTATCTTAATCACCGACACAGTAAGGAAGGGTTGACTGTCATCGCTTGTTTGGCAGTTATAACCTATTTATTAGTAAATAATTGGAATTGCCTTTGTTTCGATGATCAATTAGGTGAACCATTGCTGAAGTTATTCCTTGGCTAGATCCTTAATTATCACTCATTCGATTTTTAGTAATTTGTTATTTAATTTTTAGTAGTTTCTTAGATTTTATTTGAATTTCTTTAATTGTCATCTTCTGCACAAAAATACCCCCTTGTCACTATGAATTTGAAAAGAAACAATTACTCCCAATCCCTGTGGATTCGACCCTACTCACCGCTATCTACAGAAATTACTTTTAGTTTGAGCAGGTTTTATTATTGCACAGGTTTCGACAACCTGTCAGTCGTTTTGCTAATCTTTTTCTTCAGAAAGTTGTGAGACAGAAATTTCATTGAAAAATTGATGCTGATGTTAGTCAAGTTAGCAGAGTCTAAAGATATAAAGTTGCTCATCTCAAACGGCCTTAGTTTTAGATGAAACTAGGACTGGACACTTTTGTAAAGCAGCCAAAACTTCTGGTATAAATTCTGTCTGTTACCTCAATACAAAGTTTGCACAGGATAATTTGAACTCTGCATGGGATAATTTGAAGTATGCATGCCCAATTAATGGACAACCTTAACTTAATCCTGCAATTTTGTCACTAGACTCCACGTACAGTTATATCATCAATTACTTTTCGCAACCTCGCCATCTGATTTTTTACTTCTTCCTCCTTATAATTATTCACTATTCCAGTGAAACCTTCAGCCAGTTCATTGTTGAGAAAATGACATCAGAATTAGTCTTTTATTGAAAGTCAGGGCATTTTCTTAAATTCCTAGCAGTCTAATGCCAGTATTGATAAACTATGTACATGTGAATGTACTACGCAGCAGAAATTTAAATATACTTACCTCTAACCATTATTGTCAAGCACAAGTTGATCTCTTCTTATGTCTTTCACTTCTTCTTGTTTATTCTAACAAAAACAAAATATGTAGAAAAAGGAAAAAGTAGAAGGAGAATTTAGAGTAAGGATCTTCTAGTCTATGTCTAACCCAAAAGTGTATAATTAATGGAATACCACAGGCTATTTATAAGCTAGACTAGGGACCCTTACTGGCAAATACAAAAATCCCTAGGGTTTCCTTCCATCAAGGAAATCTTGCCAAAATTCATAATTGAAATAATATTTTCTAACTAATTGATTGATTTAATTGATTAACTGATTGAATAAGACATCAATTAACAGTAGATATCAATCAATCATTGACAAATGGAAGATACTAATTAATTATTGACAAAATGTCAATCAATTAATCAGGATGTCAATCATCAATCATTATATAATGGGAGATACTAATTAATTATTGACAAAATGTCAATCAATTAATTATGATATCAATCACTTTAAAATCAATCATGTGGGTCATAATTGCCTCAAAAGGAGACAAGTCTTACATTCTCCCACTTGGCCCACATGAAATAATCAGATAACTTATGAGTGACTAGCTACTTAAAAAATGGCCATAAACCGTGTTTGTCACTCACTAAATTCAATAGTTATGTAACAGTTGCTTAATTAGAAAATAATAATACATGAATCATGGCGGTTATGCTCTCATGGCAAACACTTCATTCCATGTATTACAATGTATTATACTTCTTAATCAAGTACTTTAAAAGAACTTTATGAATAACTTCATATAAGTTATTCAGGGTCCAACTTTATGGATCACATGATTTTTACTTTATACATGAATAACAATGTGCACAAAATCATGTAAATATAAATATCTCAAGTGTCTAGACTATAACAATAGTTTGAGAATAATAGCAAAATACTAAATGAACTACTGAGTTCCATGTGAGTTATTTGATCATTAATAATTCAGCCGGCAACCTTTAGTTGTTTGATCAACAATAATAACTCCTTCCTATATACTCAATAGCTACCTTTTGCTTTTCAAATAACTATTGAATACCTTATGTCGACTTGCCTATTCTGACTCCCTCCCTTTCATGTATACATAATGAAGGGTATAGTCAAATCAAATATCTATAATGGTTACAATACAATATCGATAAAATTTATGCCAAACAGTAGATGCCTGTGGTATAACTTCATAGCATCCTTGGTGAATTTATTCCAATGCATGATGTGAACACTATATAATTGTTCACTATTATTACTTAAAAGTAATCAAAGAACCCTTGCATGAAGGTCTTAAGATAGATTAACTATCTTTTACATGCTATTTTGTGAATATCGATGATAGAAGGATTTCACAAATATTATGATTGAGAAAAACTCTCATAGTATTACTACCACTAATCTTAATGTATATTAATTTACTAGAAAAAATTCTTCTAAGATCAAATGAAGAATAAATTAATATACCATCGGGAAGAAACAATTTAAATTGTATTCTCTACAAATGTATTATGGTGACACATGTGTATACCTAATTATCAAGAGTCACATTAAGGACATTTGTTTTCATATTTAATGTAACTCTAATAGTGAGTTACTAGTGTCATAATTACCCTAAGGGTATGTTTGGTTTCCCATAGAATTGAGGTTTAGAATTGGAATTGGGGCCCCAATTCCAAATCTATTGTTTGGATACTGCTTCGGTCAAAGAATTAGAATTGAATCTGAATTCTATAGGGGTCTAATTCCATGATTTGAATTCTTTATTGGACCAAAAGAATTCTAATTCCAATTCCACAACTAAACCCTGCGAAACGGGTCTACACGCGGATCTTGTGGGTAAAAAATTAAAATCGGGTCAACTAGGTAAGCAGCCCTCTCTCTCGATCACTTTTCCTCAACCGCAACTGCTTCTGCTCTGTGTCATCGCCTTCACCTCCACCCTAACATTTTGCCTCTTCCACCACCGTCTCCGGCATCGCTTTTTGCTTCTCCGGCTATCCCTCACCAATCGCAAGACTGCTCCGAGTGCTCTCTACTTACCCGTGCTTAATTTTCACGAACTGGGTTCTTCAGTCCGGAAGGTAACAACTAAAAGCTCTCCTTTGCTTCGATTTTTAGATGATTGCACACACTGAATTATATTTAGTCGAGAGTAGTTGTGAAATTATTTTTCGGATATGAACCCCATATGAAAAATGATTTTCAGGGGATTTTTTTAAAGTTATAAAATATTTTAATCGATTTGGACATAAAAATTTTGGGTGTGAAATGATAGAATTAGAATGAAATTTGGAGGAATTTGGGATCTCAAAGCCATGCTCCTAAGATTGATACGTACTAGGTTGTTGCCTAAAGAAGGAAACTTAGGACCAAGAGGATTGTTACTGATATCTAGCTCTTCAAGCTGTGATAGGCCTTTCAGATCGGGAATACTTCCATTTAACAGATTATAAGCCAAAACAAGACTTTTCAGATTCTTGAATGTGGCAATCTCTGGGGGGATGCCACCCTGAATGAAGTTGGAACTAATGTTTAGCACCTCTAGAGAATCAAGCCTATCAACCTTGGCAGGCAATGGTCCCCATATTCCCAGGGATACTAATGACAACTTTTTCAGATTGGAAAGCTTAGTTATGACTGTAAAGAATGAATCAATTGAAAATCCCTGGGACAGAGTTCTCTGAGGTATGGAAAAGTTTGTAGTAGATGGTTATACAACAAAGTTCAGTTTATCTTAACTGTAAAAATTAATATAATAATCACTTTAAAAAATTAAGTGGGTTATTTTGTAAAAAAGAAAAAAAAGTAGACCAAAGATATCTAAATTTGAGCAGCGGAATAATCTTTGAGCATACGAATTAGAGCTTGAATTAACACTTGAAGTGACACTTTGAGCGACTTAGCATGACTGCGCCCCAACTTTCAGGCTGCTTCTGTTCTTGACAGATTTTACCTGCAAGACACTAAGCAGATCAACTCTGCAAATGATTTAACACAGAATGTTATGGCTTCTATGCTTCTAGGAGGTAACAGAAGAAAAAGTTCTTACTTCTCTTTAAACAGGAAAAAATCTAACAGAAGAAACTTTAACGTACTATCTATATAGATTACTGTTGGATTTGATTCACATGGATTGATAATAGAATCAACAATGATTAGAGCATCTTACACCATCTACATGACATGCACAAAATATTCTAAATTGCCGCATTGGTCAAGGCATCACCATGAACCTTCCACTTCTTAAACTCAGTAGAGGCTAACATAAATGAACTCGCATTCCGATGGCCTCCACCACCGAATTCCTGCATGTGATTCTATGATGTATTAGCTCTTAACTCTAGCTATGCATTTTCATAACTGAACAGGAGAAGTGCTATGAGTTGTGAAGATATTAAGAACCTGTGAGATTTGTGTTGTATCCTCATTCTCAATGCTTCTTAAGCTTATTTTCAGCAGTCAATCATTTTCATATGTTGTACTAATGTCTATTTCTGAAGAACATGTCACATGACGATGTTGGAGTTTTCATTTAGGTTGCGATTGGCTGTTTGATATCCTACTCTGATGTAGGTTGCATTCTAAAATTCTCTTACTTGACTCCTGAGACCTCTTCTCCTACTTGGCACTGAATGAGTTTTTCTTCATTTAACATATGTATGAATTTTTCAGGTGCATATTTGCCTTTCATTTTTAGTTCTATAATGCAGTAGCTATTAAATATGTTCTTAAGAACATGACATTGTGATGTTTTTCTGGTGCATATCTGCCTCAGATATGGCATCTGAAGCAACATCTCAGTCAAAAGGAAAAGGCAAAGGGTATTTCACTTGGACTCCTGAAATGGATCATGTAATGGGCACTTGTTTATTGACCAAATGAACCAAGGAAACAAATTGGATGGTAAATGTGCATTGGTAATTGATTTTTTTGGTAATCTCCAGTTGAAGTTGTTTTGTAGAAGAAGTTGAGCTGATTGCTGGAAGCCCAAGTAGAGCAAGTAGAAGTTGTTACTACTCCATCGTGTATCCATGACTTTTTAAATTCTGATGTGTTCTTTGTTTTTTATGTAATGGATCAAAACAAGATTATAGAAAGATTCTAGAGAGTATTTCAGCTATTTTCTCTGTTTTTGAGATGATAAGAATGGAACATTGGATCTTTTGTCTGATGAACTAGCATTTTAGATATTGAGATTAACATAGCTGCCTGTGTTGATGCCCTGACTTGTCCTTGAGTTACATGAACCTTTGCATTCTTTTTCAAAGTTAAGGAGATTTTGTATAAGTGCTCTTCCTGTATTCTGTTGGTTTTTATCTTCCACAAGTCTGCACACTCACTAAAGAATGGATGACAGATATTATTCTATTTAGCAAGTACTTGACTGTGTGTGAATTGGTCATCTGACAGTCTTAAGTTTTGTATTTTCCAATATCTCCTCCAAAGAAGCTGGTAAATATTAGTACAAAGGTTCGCCCATGTATTTGTTATATTGTGTTACAAAAACAAGCCTCAGAACTTTGTCTTCATGATTGAGATCTATTCTACACTTTTTGGTAGAGTCATAAATTTTACCCTACTTGATTATCACCAAAAAAGTCGATTTGTATATTTTGTCTTCTTTTTCACTATTTTCTTGGGTCAGGTAATTTGTGACTAATTCACTATCTGGTATTCTACCATGGTTTAAGAAATATGCTAGTGTCATTGGGGATTTACTTTTAAGGGGGTGAGGTCCAGTTTTTGTTGGATGCCAATATCTATAGCATACGTTGAAAAAAGAAGGCAGTCAGATTGACACGTCTCGCTAATGCTATGCTTAGCACAACCTAACTCTGGAAATGTTCACCAAGAAATTGACATACGAGTAGGAAAAAATAAATTATTAAAGGCACAAATTGATTTTTACTTTTAAATCTTTAGTAAAAATTAGCTAAATGTAAGGAAAAAAATTATTATATAGAAAAAAGAAAAAAAATTATGTAAGCAAATGTTTCATGAAAACAATTCTAATTCCTAATGAATTCTTCTCTCATGCAAACAAAGGATTTGGAATTCCAAATAAATTCCATATCAATTCTATGCATTTCCCAAACAAAAGAATTGAAATAACTTGGAATTCCAATTCATAGAATTCCAATTCTATAGAATTTCAATTCTAATTCAATTCTAATTCTATAGAACCAAACGTACCCTAAATGAAATCTCTCAAATTTGGTAGAGATTTTGCGGTAATTTGTGACATTATTCCTGAATATGGAGATTCCTCCATTTGCACCTTATGAAAACATCATCCATTTCATCCTTAAACTCTTGTAGATATACAACATAGTAACCAGAGAATTTTAATTCTCTATAGAGAACATTTTGCCTCCCACTGTCTCAAAGATAAGTCAATCAGTAGGTTCAAAGTGGATTTATCTTTATGTGTTTATTTGACAAGGAGTTTTTTCAATTGATTGCTTATCTAAAATAATTAAATAATTATTTTGAGAAAAACTATCAATTTTCCATATGCAAAGGAGTCAAATATGAATCCTTACCATTTCAAAACTCCATTCTAGAGTAAAAAACACTCCCACTTACTTCATGTTCTTAAGAAATTTAAATCTCCAGTTCTAATTGAAGTGTAAAGGAATCCAAATTTCTTGAAGTAAAATAGCCTTGTTTCCTTTGTACAGCTTCTTTATGTGCAGGTTGATTACCCTCACAAAACTGAACATAATATTTTAAACTTGATTTCTATCCATACCATAATCAAAGTGGTGTTTAAACAATATTGGAGGAAATTGTTTAAGTATATACTTCAATTTCAAGACATTACTCACAAGATATAAAGATTGTCAAAATGCTATATCTACAACTATCTCATTATTTTCTTAAGGTACATCATTTGGATGTAACTAATTAAGCATTGCTTTTACTCATTAGCAATGCTTCATAATTAAGGAATTTATAAAATGAGCACATATAGGATAATCCCCTAATTTTGTGTTCCTTCATTTTATTTTCTATCCCTCAAATTTCAAATTTTCTTTCTCGTTTGAACACTTACAAAGGTATCAAATATTGAGCCTTTATCAAATAAGAAAAGAACTTTATATTTGATGAATGGTTACCTAATAATGAGATAAATATCTCTTACCAATAAAAAATGATAGAAAATAATTCACAAAATTTTAGTATTATAAGGAAACTCTTATGGCATCCATAATGGTTGAATAGTCTGCTTTACTTATGCAGTCTACCTGAAATATTATAGTCAATAAATTTAAAATCTTTAAAGATTTATGATTTATCAACTCTTTATTTTCTTATAGAGATATATCTCAATCTCTTATGCCAAAATTTAAGGAGTTTCCCCAGTGATAAACATACTTGCTGCCAATATAATTATTATGATCAAGTGTAGTATATTGCTCAATTCAAATGATAGTACTAGAAACCTTAGAATTCATACCTTTACTATTTTCAAAATCTACTACTGGATAATGAGATTCATAATCATACCCAATAGTAATTAATTTGAAAATAGAAATTCTAAAGTAACAAGAAAATAATGTTTTAGAAAAAAATAACAAATTTTCTTAAAATGAGTAATAATACATCACTTATCTTTATGTGAACAATTTTTTTTTTATTAGTTTCTATAAAGAAACTTTTGTTCACTTTTCATATAATCATAAATTTATTATACTGGCAGCGTAAATTGACAGTTTTAGCCAATTCACCAAATATATCACAATTGAGATTTTCTTTTGAGTTACTTTCTCTCAAAGTAGAATATCAAATATCATTCTCTTACAAACAACGTTGGTCTTTATCGCTGTTTGATTATATGAGAACAAAATTACCTTTCTTTCCATTTCTTCTTTCATAAAGGTTAAGTTTCTCATATTTCTTAACCGCTTTATCCTTTCTTAATACACATGGTTAAAACAAGTAATTAACCATATATCTTTATGTGTATTATAAAGGATTGAATGGTTAAGAAATTCTGCATGAAAGAATCAAGAATGAAATGCTATAGAAATAACTCAATCTCAATTTGATAGGACTTTAATTGATGATATAGCAAAATTCTCAACTCTAAGAAATGAGCTAAATACACTTCAATATTTAAGTGTCACAAAAGAAAGCCTTCTAATGGTGCTAGTTAAAACTTGCAACAATTTCTTTATGGCTTTCATGCAAGATTTAACTATAAATAATTAGGATTTGAACCCTATTTTATATGAATATGAGACAGAATGAGCAAACTATTAAATTGCTCCCAATTCTCATACTCAACCTCTATATTAGCAAATATATCCACATTATGAGAATGGTTTGTTCATTCTCACAAAAGTGCTAATTTAAAACTTGCACCAAAAACAAAAGAGAATGAATTTAAAAATCAAGCTAATAAGAACCATAAAAATCATTGGAATGAAACACTGAATTAACAATCAAGAACTATATCATAAAAAGCTATGAGATTTGTACCTTGATTTTGAATCAACCTTATATCAATTCAAATAGTAAATTCAAACCTTTCTGTGGACAAAGGTTGCAAACGTGCATAGAATTTACTTTACTTAATCATGAGACTAGTAATCTAGAACAATGAATTAAAGAAATAATTCGTACCTATGGGCATAGAAATATCTCTTAATTGACTGTCCAATTTACCATCTTATGTCAATTAATCTCACCAAAATAATTACCTCCCTGTGGGGCCGGATAACTATCTCAATGAATTAATTGCAACTTGATATAGATGCCATTTTTTTAAATTTCTTTAATCACTCAACAATATGTGAAAAAGAAATATAAAATTTCTCCAAACACCAATATACTTAAGATGATGTGGCTACTTCTAAGTATACGGCATTATAAGAAAAATTGTCAACTAGTCAATATGTTGACTAAAAATTTATAATTTCAATCACCAAACTATATGTGATGAAAACTTTTCTCATCAAATATTTGGGATGCTGTGGCTACTCCCAAATAGTAATGTAAAAGTGAAATTCTTAGCATGGCATCTTGTTATTTGTCAATAGTCAAAAAACTTTATATTGACTGAAATTCATTGAATTTTCCTTTCCTTTTATAATCACTTAATCTTATGTCATTAAAGTTATTTATACCGTATATTTGAGATGCTGTGGCTACTCCCAAATATACGATGTAAAAAAAATTCTAATGAAAATTCATAGAAAATAAGTAGTTAACTCGTTGACTAGAAATCCTTGATTTTAATCACTAAATTATATGCGATCAAAATTGTAGTACATCAATGTTTGAGATGCTATGGCTATTCTCAAACATAAAGTGTACTAGACTTTATAAGAATATCAAAATAGTCAAAAATCTGTATTTTGACAAAAAAATTTCATAATTTCTTTTTTTTTCTTGTATTCATTTTTTTTTAACCACTAGCCTTTATGTGATTAAAATACTTCATGCATCAAATAATTGAGATGCAAAACACACTTTATAAAGGAAATTCTCCGAAATTTAAATGTAATCAACCATACTAATGTTGACATTATAATATGAGATAAATAAACAGAAGCGTAGTGCATAAAATACTACATAATTCCAAGTAACAACAAGAACGTGGAGGCAAATT